TACATGAGAATACGCGAGGATGGGGAATGTTGAAGAAAAAGATATGGAAAATAATATTCTACACTTGTTTGAGTAACGAAGGATTCGCACTGCCACGTTCAGGATGAGGCACTTTATTTATCGATAGAGCTTCGCGTCGATGCCATCTTCGTCCAATTTCAACGACTGATGACACATACCGGCTGTCTGGGTTATGGCGAGATTTTAGACCATAGCGATCTTCGATTGGACAAGAAGACATTCCATATACAATTAACTACCATGCAACGACGTCTTATCATTTTAATCTCTACGGGAAGCGCGCACAAATCATTCCTTCCATTCCACTCTTGAATCATTTCCCATAAATTCTCGCGTTACAATTCACATCAATTGGGAAAATGTAATTATTCAGTATTTTCAAAATATGAAGAAAAAACTCTTAAAACACCATGTGATCAATCAAAGTGATTTTTCCCCTATAAGTTGAAACCCCGTTGGCAATTTCATAACCTTTTTGTACATTCTCATTGATTTCCAATCCGCCGCGTCAGTTTTCAGCTGCGAGGTAATTGGTCTTAATTTTGAAAAACATATTTTAGAAAAATTATAATTTGCTTGTATGACATGCAAAATAAAACTAGATATGGTTAGAGTACTCTGTACCACTGAAATGGTCTCTATTGAGGTCAGATGGTGAAAAGGTCAAGCACACATATCTCCTGCGTCCCGTGCAGATCTCGGGCTAGAATTGGTCTTCAGCAACCCATGCTTGTCTTAAGGGGTGACTAACGGGATCGGGTTTTCAGGCTCGCTGACTTAGTTGACACATGTCATCGGTTCCCAGTTGTGTAGATCGATGCTCATGCTGTTGATCACTGGATTGTCTGGTCCAGACTCTATTATTTACAGACTACCGCCATATATCTGCAATATTGCGACGTTAAACAACAAACAAACGTATGTCGTTGTTGTTGATGCCATCACTATGGAAACGCCGGTATATGTCTTAATTGTAATCAGGAGAAAGGCACATTATTCAAACAGCGGTGCGACAGACGTGACGTCAATGATAGGATACCATCATAAAGCAATGACGTAATCTGATTCAGTAACAACATACTGGAAGACATCTACATATACAGTGAAATCTATGTTTGAGTTTATATTGTAAACACGGGAAAATGTCTACAACATCAAGCAGAATATTTCCAAACTTGTAAACATCCAAGAACGATCAAAGTATCCGAATGAAGCTGCGACTACCAGATAACCCAATAACAATATTTATAATGTCAGGCGCACATTTACCAAGGAAGCAAATAAAGAATCATTGAACCGGTTTTGTTCACTTTATATATATATATATGCTATTGTAATGTTTTCGTAATCGATAAATTCGTGTCTATTTCCTATGTTGAATGGTATATTGGACCCAAATGCATCCCAGCAGAAGATAGAGCTCTTAACGCTACATATAAACCCAGCTCCTGTGTCTACGATGTGATTGAATAATGCTCTACTCTGCTTTCAGCATTATTACGACTTCGCAGGTGAGAAATTGACTTCACACATTGTTCTCACATTATGAATCCAACCCGAACAATCGGTATGATGAGCAAACCATTTACCACTGGCCTACCATACCGCCACTTTACTAAGATTTAAGCGGTGGGGTAGCCTAGTGGTTAAAGCGTTCACTCGTCACACAGAAGGCCCGGGTTCGATTCCCACATGGGTACAATGTGTGAAGCCCATTTCAGGTGTCACCCGCTGTGATATTGCAGGAATAGTGCTAAAAGCGGCGTAAAACTAAACTCACTCACTAAACTGAGATTTCACAGACTACTGATAGAGGTAAACAATACACGGTTAATTTCCCATAGTGTATGGATATCCGTCATATTTATTCATATGTATCAATTTTACTACGTTTTTTTTGTGTGCGTTTTTGGTTTGTTCTTTGTTGGGTTATTTCTTCTTTTCTTCACCTTTTTCTGAGATGGCTGGGGTCCGCCTTTAGCTGCAGTCGTTTTTATCGACCAGCTTCATTTTCCTGTTTTTCGTCAAATTACGAGTTTCCGACATGTAAAGGGCGCAAATCGACAAGCCGAGTTTCCCCATGCTGACATACTTAGATTTTACCTAGATGTAGACGTATTATAAACGGTGTGTCTTCACAGTGAGAAAGGAAGTTTGTTCTATATTGCCGACTAAGACGGAAGATATATATAGGTCCAGCTGAGACTTCCTGTAACGTGTCACCCTCTACAAATTATATTAATATCTGAATTAACACTTCCTTTCGTGCGGTTCCATTTTTCCTTTTTGTGATTTACTTGAACTTTTTTTAAATTTGTTAAGTTGGCATGGCGTGACAAGTGTGAAATTTGATATCTTCGAATTAACAACTCGAGAATATAGCTCGGATTCCAAATGAAGCGTCTTTGTCAGATATGATATATCTCGCCAAGAATGTCTGTGTGACATTTTGCAGTACTTTTCTGCCTGCATGGACCCAACCTGGATTAGTGATACATTAAAAACAAAAGATCTGTGATTAAAACTCTGGCGATGATAAGCATACATTGAATGACGTGGTCTTACGTTCCCTCTCCGCAATGTATTGAAAGATACGAGTGAGTGAATGAGTGAGTGAAATAAATCCAGATCTTACGTGACTACCGAAAACCTCAAACACAAAACTGTCCTGTCAGGCCTTCGGGTGAGTGAGTGTTGATTTCCGCCGCACGGTGCAGCAGTTCAGCCGCCATCACTATCGATAATTCCAATATGAGAGAATGGAGGCTAACTATAGGGCACAGAATATACAATAATGGTTGAAATATCGCAGTCAAGAGCAAAAAACTGTTGTGTTTAGAACACGAATAAAAAAGCTATATATTCTTAAAATATTTCAACTTGATATTTTTTCATCAAATGGGAAAATCTTGGTATATTTTCGGAAGAAGGTCATTCATATATCAAAATATTTAAGCTGAGAAACATCAGCTCAAATTACATTGACATATTATATTGTACGTGGCATCATTCCCATCAACACTATGTATAGTATAGAGGATATGATTTGTATTCACCTCGATAGTTGCTCAGCACTATCTTGTCAATTCATATTATATTATCAAAATACTTTGTAGATCTTATACATGTCTTACCACAATTTGGTCAAATGTCGAGATTAATGATTAGGAATTACAAAGGTCATGGAGTTCGATAGGAAAAGTTAACAATAAATCATATTGATAAAGCAAAGAGGTTTTTTGTCGGTGAAGCCCCTTAACACCTGTCACTCTACGCGCATGCGCAGACTGAACACCTGTTAAGGTCGCTGGGTACTTGTTACAGGAGCAGACGACTCGTATCTCGTTTGGAAACACTTCAATAGATTGGATGAAACCTTCACACCACTGACATTTGCTATGATTCATAAAATTTTGACTATTGGAATGTGACAGGCCATATAGATTGAGTTAATTGTCGAGTTTACACTGCGAGCCTCGAGTTTATGGGTTTGTATTTAATATGATATAATATCGTGATAAATGATTGACAGGAGCCGATGTCAGGAAGCAGAAACACGATAACGGAGAGGTTTGCTCTTCTGTGTGTTGAAGTGGATTCGTTACGCAGTGAAAGGTATCTTAAGATATAATCTTTGTTAATCTGCCGGCCGTGTAATATGGACACTTCACTATCGCATGCTAGATGGGACCTCGTCATGTCGAAGCACAGGTTTGAATCCCCACCTGGGCTAATTGTGTGAAGCCGATTTTTGGTGTCGCCCGACCTGATATTGCTTAAAGAGATTACAACACAAGTAACCCACAACATCAATTAAATGTACCCACGTCATATCAGCGCCACCATCTGGAGATCTACTGGATGATACTTTAGTTGCGTTTATTGGCTCACTTAGCACTAGATATGTGTTTACCCGCTGCGACCCAGGGACCGAGGACAGGGAGAGCGCTAGTCTGATAAGAAGAGATATTTCTATGTCAGTTAGTTTTGTGTTGATACAAAAGTAATGATATGTAATGAATTTAAATTTGTATGATTACACGGAATTCGGTCATGAGCCTATTTGTATTTTGAAAAGCCTGTCTTACTTGAATTTGCATTCAAAGATGTTAAAGTCAGTCTTTGCTCGTTTCGATGTACATTGGTTAGAATTACATATTGTGGTGTCTCCCGCCGTCATATTGCTAGAATGTTGATAAAAGCTGCGTATAACCATACTCACTCACTCACTACACCATATTGGGTTTTTTATGTACTTAGACTAACACATAGGCGGATCCAGGAATTTTCAAGGGGTGGTGGTGTGTGTGTGTGTGTGTGTGTGTGTGTGTGTGTGTGTGTGTGTGTGTGTGTGTGTGTAAGGCTATATTTGTTCCTGATCGCATGTGACTCATGAAACACTGGGCACTTTAGGGCTATATTTGTTCCTGATCGCATGTGAGGGGTCGAACCACACAGTACAATACCCCGTGCCACACCCTTTCCCTCCACTGAACGTTTACACACAGAGCACGGGTGCACTTCCCGGTATTAAGGAATTACAAGTGAAACAGTTAGCGCATAGGCGGATCCAGAGGGGATGCAGGGTGCGCCCCTTTGTGGGTGAAAGTTTGTTAAATGACCATTGAAACTCGGGTTAAAATGAAGTGTGCACCCCTCCTTTTCTCAATAGTGTGCACCCCCTTCTCAAAAGCGGTATCCGCCCCTGTAGCGTGTTTATTGAAAGAGATATACTTTACAGAAAAGCACATGGTATTCCTTCAAATCACGTAATTTTGTTGGAGTATTTTTCTCTTTTTAAGAAATCCCGCTATGATAAATCTTTAAACTATCCTAACAAAGTAAAGCCTTACAACAACGCGGAAACGCGGAAATACATCCAACATAATTACGTAATGTTAGAATATAAATAAACATGACTAACTATATATGATGATAAAAGTTATGTTTCAGGACACAGTGCAGATAAATATGTTCATGACACAAGGTTGTGTTTAGACGGAGATCGTTTGTTTCGGCATACAGTCGGCACCATCAAACGCAAGTCATCCCCGACCACGCGTGGCGAGAGGCCGGCTCTCATCGCTCTCAGCTCCTCACTGACAGTGCGTTACTCCAGCTGTACGGCAGTGATCTGTCGCTGTGTGGAGGTTTCATACTCATGACTTACAACCATATTTCTGTGATGTCTGGAATACCATTCTGACTGGATATCAACCTGGGCTCTTATCTGGGCACAAAATTAGTCTATAATTATCCCAGTGTTATGGCGAGGGTACTCTAAGAGCCGGAAACTCGTACATCCGGCGAGTTGACCCGTCCGGGTTATCGAGTTGCCGTTCCCTCTACATTGTCTTAGCGTTACTGTCACTTGGAGACGCCGAAATAGCGAGTATACCTGATATTGCGTACAGCAAGCTATATGTCCGTGTGTACATAATTCATCAGCAAGTGATTCAGTCACTATTGTGTTGTAGGCGGGAGAGCCTGTGTGTCGCTTTACCGCGAGCCCGAGACAGCTGGAGTTAGCGCTCGCTTCGATAACGAACAGCGGAGTGAGAGAGAGAGAAGAACGAAAGAGCGAGAGAAGGGTCAACTCTAGGAGGTCAATGAAATGAAAATGAACTCTTCATTGGCCGGAATATGGATGTTCGTACTGATGTCCCTTCAGACGCTAGGTAAGTTATACCATATCTTTTTATGTTTTTATGCTATCAACAGAATTCGATCTCACTGCAAAGCTGACGGGCTTCGACTGCTTGACAGATCGCCGTATCTCCCCCATTCACTAAGTCCATGTGTTCAACGAATTTCACGCTTCATGTTTACATAGCTTTTTCATTTCACTCCAGCACGTTTTCCGGAAATGATTTTGTTGTTAGTCTATTAAATCGTAACACTTAACTAGCTTGTAAATAGACCCTCTGCTCTACCACTCCCGCTAGTTTATGTTGTCGATTTCAATTCCGAGTCTACCAACTCAAAATGCTACCGACCAACTGTGGTCTTAACAAAGGCGCCCATCTGACAATTGCCCATTATATTTACACACATGGTATGGTTTAAAGTGTCGGCCTTGAATAGAAAACATGCGCCCTCGGACGCTTGTCCATTTCAGAATCTCGTTGTACATTTCACTCCCTGGCACCACATGGCATGTCGTAACTGGCCGGCGTTTTGAACGACCGTAAACGCCGCGGCCTCAGATAATTACATAATTTAGATTGAGTGGATCGTAGAATTAGGGCAATTTTCGGGAAGCCTGTTCATCCCTCAAATCCCGGGGTAGGGGGATCCCTATACAATCCACATGGGGATGACGTCGCTCTTTGATGTTGTACGATGACGTCATGGCTTACTCATGTACCTGGGACGCTTGGTGATTGCCGATATTGATTCCTTTATCTCGTGATGCGGCTTTCCTTATCACTACTTCATATCGATCTCTCTGGCAGCGAGTCAGAGCGACCTTCAACAAATTTGCGCCTGTTGTGACAAAGATTTTTAGCGTATAATGAAGTGTCGAATTTGTTCCCTGTTCATTCATGCGAAGAGATAATGCCTCACGTGCAGTGTATAGTCCGTTTCAGTAAATCAGGGCTGTATTCTCAGAGTGTGTATAACCACGTGACTCATAGATGTACACTTGTGTATATATTGAATCCTGGACCAGCCATCCAAAAATTCATTAAAACTACATTAAACACTTACATGGTGAGAGTTTTGTAAACAAAACAAATGTTAAAACCATTTGAAAAAAACAAAAACAAATTCCGATCTGTTTTTCGCGTTCAGGCATGTAATGATTAAGAGTTTATCGTCAATATCTACATAGGAAGGATTCAGTGAATGTCGTTTCCCAGAAAACAACGCGGATGGTAGTAAATTCTATGAGACTATGTTATCTAAGGCGTCAGGTCAATTTATGGCACACTTGGGGAATGTACATGGTAAATATAATGTATATCAGAGCAAGCAGCGCTGGCAACATGAGGCAATGTTAGACCTGTATACAGTAGTGTTGGGAATTGGTTAAAATCTCATAATTGATGATTGGTTCATTACCACCGATCAATCATCGAAAATAATTGGTTAGCGTCATTTATGAAATTTGTTAATGCACAAATAAATAAGGAAAAAAACATGTAGTTATTTTGGGGGTTTGGGCAAAATTTCACATCTTTAAAGAATATGACTAGTATGTTAGGAACAGAAATTTCTTGGTGTCTTTAAGATAAATTCAATCATGACTTGGAACGAGCTTATAGTGCTTATGAAATGTAACAGACAAAACCCACCTTGTGAAAAATATTGTTGATGAATACAAGTGTTCCAGAATTGTTTGTGTTTGATTATGAGAAAACATGATCGATTGCTTGGTCGTTTAGTCACTGCGACCAATCTTCGATTATTTCAATTAATCGGATCACCACTAGTATACAGTAACCCTATAAATCCGGACCCCGACCAATACTGTTCGGACGTCTACACGTAGGGACATTAATGCATAATTCGTTAATCGTAAAACTGTAAATGTGGTCAGATTTACTGAAAACGGTAACGCTCGGAGTAACAAGGTATCAGTGCTCAAGTGAGTGAGTGGGTTCAGTTTTACGCCGCTTTTAGCAATATTCCACCACTATCACGGCGGGGGACACCAGAAATGGGCTTCACACATTGTACCCATGTGGGGAATCGAACCCGGGTCTTCGGCGTGACGAGCGAACGCTTTAACACCTAGGCTCCCCCACCGCCCCTTCAGTGCTAAAGAAATATCCCATATCAAAGTATGTTTCTATTAGCTTGAAATGATAGTGACAAGCCACTTATTCCATGACTGGCTCTGTACAATCTTGAAGATGGCACCAGGTGTGAGGTCAGGGTCAGTGTGTGGAATCAGCTGTGCCCGTCATCACCGGGAGTCAGTTTCGTGTAGACTTCATAGAACCAGCTAGACGGCCTTGAGTTAAGTACACGTGAAGGTCCGGGATAGAATGAACCTTCAGCAACCCATGCTTGTCGTAAGAGGCGACTAACGGGATCGGGTGGTCAGGCTCGCTGGCTTGGTTAACACATGTCATCGGTTCCCAATTGCGCAGATCGATGCTCATGCTGTTGATCACTGGATTGTCTGGTCCAGACTCGATTATTTACAGACCGCCACCATATAGCTGGAATATTGCTGTCTGCGGCGTAAAACTAACTCACTCACCCACTCACTTGAGTTAAGTTGATATACGCCGCAGTTAACAATATACCACATCGATAATAACTACTTGGTCAGCCAAACCAGTGGGTCATTGTATGAGCAACATTGCACGTTTGCGGTTCCATGACAACCGAAACGGCGTAAAACTATACTCACTCACTCCATGACAGCCTGGACTTTGGGTACTGTAGCCATCGAATCCCCATAAGTTGTTCCCCAACGCATCGTTGATTATCTAGTATATGATATGTCCATTCTGCAGTTAAAAAAAATAATCACTTGAAACATGAACTTAACATGGACTTAACATAGACTTAACATTGACTTAACCTAAAAAATGCATGCAAAACTAGAGTGGAAAAGTCGCCCAAAAACTTACGTAAGGTCCAAACACAACCATCATGCCCATATGAAATATACTCATGCCAATAATGGTTCTCAGTGTCACCCCTTTCAATTTTTTAATTGGCACGAGAGGGCACGACGTTTACAACCATTATTGTAAGGTCGAAACATGAGTATACATCAACATCGGATAACCATTTCTTGCTCGTTTCATTTTAGCACTTCGATTCCCCACATGGGTACAATGTGTGAAGCCCATTGCCGGTGTTCCCCGCCGTGATATTGCTGGAGTATTGCTAGTCTGTCTCACAGTCCCTGAACCACATAATTTACACTACTGCCTAGAACTCCCTGCAAAGCTACAGCTCTAAATATAGCAAGTCTAGGTTTTCCCAGGTTGTAGGATCTCCCAACTCACCGGCCTTCCTTTTCAATTTAAATGGGTTTATTTGTTACTATCAAAATTATATATAATCAGGGTCTAAGCTTTAGTCTAGAATATTGCTAAAAGGGGCGTAAAGCCAAACTCATGTTAGCACACTCAGTCTATATAACGTTGGTGTCTACTTCTTATGGGCCCGTGAAGATCCGGGGTAGAATAGGTTTTCAGCAACCCATGCTTGCCGTACAAGGCGACTATGCTTGTCGTAAGAGGCGACTAACGGGATTGGGTAGTCAGGCTCGCTGTATTGGTTGACACATGTCATCGGTTCCCAATTGCGCAGATCGATGCTCATGCTGTTGATCATTGGATTGTCTGGTCCAGACTCGATTATTTACAGACCGCCGCCATATAGCTGGAATATTGCTGAGTGCGGCGTAAAACTAAACTCACTCACTCACTCACTCACTTCTTATGCCCTTCTTGGCCTTAATATTAAATCCTCGATTAGATCATTGAGAAGAATGCAGGTCTAATACACTGGAAAATCGCTGGTGGCATTTACGCCAGCAGAGTTATGTGTGGCCTGTTCAGACCCGTATCCTCTAGGGGCAGACAAACTTTCAGGTTGACAGTCCCGTTAGAGGGTGACGGACACGTCAGCGTGTCTTGTCATGATGTAACTAGGGTGACAGTAAGACGTGTAAAGTCTGGAGCTGCAGGTGCTTTGATGCGGAAGTAACTGATGTTTTGGCTGCCTCCCTGTGAAGACAACGACGGTTACGTTTGTCAATGTCAGCTCAGTCTGAAGCAAGCTGTTAGAGATGTAAAGTTCAAGCGTGTTAAATGGCGATAAAAAGTTTGTTTTAATATTTTTTATAATGAAACGTCACATCACTGTCAGTCCTGTAACACGACGGTGGAATATTTCCATGTAAATCATTTGTAGGTCTCAAAACAAATTTAAATGAATGCAAGTCAGTAGATATAGTGAAATCAGTTGAATATATAATGTGGAAATATTTAGGCTATATGTTAATATTATTCACTATTGGACATAAACACAGCAGATTCTATCACTATTGTTTATGGAGCATGACCAACAGATCAATATTTTGAGTTGTTGACTCATTTGTGGAACATATGTTGCACATACATCGTCATGCCTGCAACTTCCTCACCACCCGACCGACCCCAACCCCAACCCCACCTCGCGCACACACCCATAGACTCTATATTTGCTGACCCGGGTTAGAATATTGATCTTCAGTAACCCATGCTTGTCGTAAGAGGCGACTAACGGGATCGAGTGGTCAGGCTCGCTGGCTTGGTTGACATGTCCTCGGTTCCCAATTGCGCAGATCGATGCTCATGCTGTTGATCACTGGATTGTCTGGTCCAGACTCGATTATTTTCAAACCGCCGCCATATAGCTGGAATATTGCCGAGTGCGGCGTAAACTCAACTCACTCCCTCACTCACTCACTCACTCACTATATTTGCTTTATTTTATTAACCTAGTTCTAACATGGACTACTTCAACCTACTTCTGAGACAGGCGTTGTTGACATCGCAGTGAGAGGATGATTTTTGTCCCTTAGCCGTGTCAGGATCCAATGACTGAGGGTTCGAATCCATACCTGTTCCGAATACGCTTATTGGTTTGTTTGTACCATATTATGCTTTTGGATTTTCCTCAAAGTTTTGTAGGGGCGGTGGGCTAGCCTAATGCTTAAACCGTC